AATTGGTCTTAAAATCATTTGGTTGATTGATATTGCAATCATGGTGAATTGCTTGACCATGCTGGTTAAATCTCGACCACTTGAAAGTTCTCACACCCTGGGTGTTATGATATGGTCGAGATTATTAAGGAACCATGCACTTAAATTGCTTGTTCAGGACTTGCAAATTTATGAGAACTAAAATTTGATTGATCAAATTTTTTCAGATGTCGAAATATGGGAATTATGATGTCCTAAATCTCTCTGGAGATAATTGGTTCGAATGGGAAATGAACATGACAGTTGCATTGGCATCAAGAGGACTCGAATGGAGTATCATTCAAGATGATGCAACTGAAAAGGAAAAACATGAGGCCATAACATTTATGCGCCAACATCTCACTGAGGATCTGAGAAATCAGTACCTACATATAGAAAATCCTCATGACCTTTGGATAGAATTGGAATCCAGATACAAAATGGTGTTATTACCGAAGGTCAGGAATGAATGGATGAGTCTTAGACTCCAAGACTTTGAGTCTGTGGAGCAATATCATTTGGCTTTGACCCAAATTACGCACAAACTAAGACTATGTGGTGAAGAGGTAACAGACAAGGATTTGCTGTTTAAGACATACTCAAAATATGTCCAGGATATGTTAAGTCATATACAAAAAGGTTTCACCACCTATGCTGAATTGCTTACATGCCTATTGAGATTTGAGAAGCATAATAAGATGCTAAAGCAAAACAGTGAGATGAGACCACCTGAAGCCAACATGGCCGAGGTAGACAGTGAGGATCACATTGAGGCCGTGTCCAATGTAATGACTGGGGTGGCCGGCTTGTCTATTGACTCCAATGTGACCGTGCCCAAGACATCACATGGTCTGGACGGTATGTCCATTGACTAAGAACAAGAGATTTCGACATTCTGATTTTTGATATTAAGCTTTATGCTTTTTATTTGATTTGATCTTATCTTATTTTTTTTATGTCATTCACACATTCTTTTATGATAATGAAAAGGTTTTGGTTTCATTACTCTTATTTTGCCTAATTTTGTTTGGTACATGTGAATGATTTTGGAAATGAAAAGGCCAAACATAAGTACATATGATTGGAATGGTCGCCTAAGTTGATAACTAAGGCTGGGACATTGTCTAAATGGCTAGATATACACCCAAAATTTCGTGGTCCATTGAGTATATAATGATAGTTTCCAAGGATGAAACAATGGACAACTGGATTTTCTCGAAATTTTAAATTGCCTATGTATTGAAACTGGTCAATACTTTATCCTATGTACTATACTGATCTAAAACTATGCTAAAAGATCAGTGGCATATGTGATGGTAACTAGGAAGATTACCCACGGAATTTTAACACCATATGGCATAATTGGATTAGCCATCCAATACTTAACTTGATGCAACCTATACACCCACCTAGTGGGAGTTTAGGTATGGTACTACTCGAAATTAAAATGGCACAAAGAGTTTTCCATATACACAAGGAAACTCTATAGGCTTTATTGTCCTAAGCACCATGAAAATAGGAGTATGTTCATGAGGGGGAGAAAAGGTTGAATCCCATGATACATGAACTATACTAAACCATGAACCATGGTCTATGACCATAGGCGGTTGGACAACTTAATAGGACATAGGGTCCACGTCCATAATGCTTAGGGACAATCATGGCATACAAATGAAACTCCAAGAATAATGTCCATGCCAAACCAACCATACTGGTCGGACCAAATAGTGCTGGACAGGCCAAGGAGGCTGGACGGACCAGCAGGCCATTCGTGTCTGGG